ACCCTGCAGACCAGAAATGGTATGAGTAATTTACAGTACACAAACAGATCTGTACTATCCCAGTAATAAAATGCATACAGCAACGCCACGTGCCAACCTCAGTTGAAGAACTGAAAGCCTATCTGGCTTCATGGTAGTCATGGGGAATAAATCGCCTTCCGAGATCCGTGACTACTGGGTCATGACGACAAGCTGCGCAACACGTTCATTGCGTCGAAGCACACGCGACCGCTTCGAACAGATGTCTCGCTACCTGCACTTCGTCGACAACACACGCTTACCTCACAGAATGAGCTGTACATTGTCTGCAGAAGGTTTCCCCATCATCACACACATGAAGCGGAAGTGGCAGGGAGAATACAGCCCTCACCCCCAAAACAGTGTTGACGAGGCGATGATCGGCTACAAGGGTAAAAAACACAATCTGTTCACAAATACACCTATACAAGCACACAGGTCGGTCCTCCATGATTCAGTACATGCCCATGAAGCCTACGAAGAGGGGATTCCCGACGGAAACAACATGCTAGGTGCTGGCTAGCTGAGAGATCGTGACACCACATACAACGCGAAACACGTGTATGTAGCTAACACTGCACACTTCCCTGAAGACAAAGCGGCACTACCCACCCTGAACACAAAATGAGGCTCACACAAAACAGAATACGATCTCAGACACCCTTCAAAACAACGGCATCTACAAATTCAGACACTAGTTCGAAATTCAGTCAGTGTGTTAGAAAGTCATATGCTACCTGCGTATTACAATGACATACCTTGACCACTGGTTTTCCTGAACTCCAAGAAGAGTCAAAAGCTTCAGACGAACTCTCCGTTGCAGCGAAAAACACACACACGACCGTCTTCTCCATTCCTAGCCCTTGCGTATAGCGCGAATTGCACGCGGAGGGTGTGGCATGCAACGCGCTGTTGCGCATTGCGCGCAAAACGCATGCGCGTAAATACGAAACGTAAAAATTATATTCGACCCCAAAGAGTTTTAAAGAGATGCAAAGGCTAAGGAGTGTGTTGCAAGTAAAAAAAGAGGAAACTCCCTGGGAAGGGCTGGCACAAAGAGACGCCACATAGAATCTGACTAGTGCAAAAACCTACCAAGGGTTTTACGTGACTTCTCACTGTTGTTGCTTGGAAATCACTGCTGTCACTGGTTATTGCACTGGTCATTATCACTGGTATTGCACAATACCTAGCGCCCACTGCGCTCGGTGGTTTTTATTTTTTTCACAAGGAAAAGAGAAAGTCAGACAACACAATTTGATAATTACCTAAAAAATTATTTTTAAAAATACCATCAGAAGATGGTGCGAGAGAAGGAGTCTGAAGAAGCCAAATGGTGGCATTTCTGCGCCAGAGAGCAATGGCGAGACGACCAAACAAGTGTTTCGTGGAGTGCAAAGGGCCTACAGAATTAACTCTTTGCCCGAGGAAGACCCCTATTACAATATGTAGTTGTCATGGAAACAATGTACTATGCATGCGTACCAAGTTTCACATCCATGTGTGCTACCCAGCTACTCTGTTAATGCGCGGCTGACCTCGACCGGTCTGTGCATCTTGAAGGCACAAGAAGCTACAACAAAGGGCGTGTATCGACTCCCGCATGCTATCATCTACTATCACTAGCCCGTGTAAGCGGGTAAACGTAAACGCATACTTACTTAGCCCAGCCCATCAATTAGCGGTACCGCACATGTGTATTTCGCCGAGGGTTTGCACTTTAGTGCTTTTCATTATTTACAGTGTTAATCCACAGTCCAAACAAGTAAATAAAAAATCCTGCGGATAAAAAAAAGAGTGCATATAGGGATTGTACAAAAAGAAAAGGAGACAAGATAGGGATGGTGGTTGAGGAGCACAGAGATGCTTGTGAGGGCTCCCAGAGGTCATTACAACAGCCCTATATTGTCGTACGGTGGGAGTGAAGGTTGTGAATGTATAAGTACTGTGTTACTTACGGATGATCATTGTTCACTAACATGCTACATTCCCATGGAGTGTACATCAAGGTGGAAGTGATTATGTTGTATAGGTGTATAATACGAGAAAACAAAATTCAAGTAAGCAGGGTTGGCTTGTACGTGAAGTTTTTTCCGTGGTTAAGCACCTATACGACGATATAGGGCTGTTGTAATGACCTCTGGAAGTCCTACCACCCCTCACAAGCATCTCTGTGCTCCACAACCACCACCCCTCTCTTGTCTCCTTTTCTTTTTGTACCATCCCTATATGCACTCTTTTTTTAATCCGCAGGATTTTTTATTTACTTGTCTCCACTCATTTTTATATACTACTATGTATTATCTCTGTGAAAGGGGGCAAGCCCCCTATAAAAACTATCATTTGAGGAAATTCATGCAAAAATGCCTGTTGCTATTTGTTGTTGACAATATTATGTAGTTGTCATGAAAACAATGTATTACGCATGGTACCTAGTTCATCTCCATGCATGGTAGCCTTAGCAAGTTTGAAGAAACAAAAGTACCTCAGGCTATTTGTTGTTGTGGTCGTCATGGAAACGATGTAATATTACATGCGTACCAATGCATGATACCCTTGTGAGCTCCGTCTCGCCATCTCCAAGGCTATACAACATCTTGCCGTCCACCGTTTCTGCTGCTGTTTGTTGCTGCCCGTGTTTGATCTAAACAAGGCCAAGCGGCTTAATTTTGCCAGGCAGTACTACTACGAGACAGACATCGGCTTCACTAACGTTGACAGAACGAAACAAAAACGTATAAGTTTATCATTACAGTGCAAAGTAACTGTTTCAAAAAAAATTTGTAATATCCAGCCACTAGTACTGAAGGACCAAATACATAAAGAGGGAGTCACTTCAGGCGCTAGGAATAGCAAGACTAGCAAGTATTTACCTCTCTCTCCTCAGGTAAGGGAGATGTACCATCTGAGGTGTACAGCGGGGCGGTTAGCAGCAGCTGCAGAGAGGTCTGCAGCACCCAAGGGGAGGAGACGGAAGAAAGTATGACTTGTATGCCATTGTGTTTGTTGACCTTGCTCTAGTTTGGTATTAATGCTCCGATTATATTCTGGTTCTCCACCCTCAGGCTACAGTGATTAGAGAGGGCCACCTCAACCCTGCTCGTACCAGGTCAGCAGCAGCCGCAGAAAGGTCAGCAGGAGGAGACAAAGGGCAACCCAGGAAGGTATGGCTTGTATGTCATTGTGTTCGTTGCGAGATCTAGGCCTGTCTTCGTCTGCTAAGAGGAAGGGTAGTTCAGAGAATTCGCTTCTGTACTGACATCACTCAGCCAGCAGCAGCACCTTACATCTCACACTGGTCGGGTCAATCTGCGAAATTCTTTGAGATGTGTTGACCATTCTTTATCCCGGATTGTCTGTCACACAAACTGAGTGTGACACTGATGGAAGATGTTGGGTAGGACTGTTTCACCAGATGCCTTTAGCAGCAATGGTGGAAACCTGAACTTCATCCTCCCCCAATTCCTACAACATGTGCTGGCAAGTGAGGGCTGCCGGAAAGAGCGTGGGCGTGTTCTCTCTTCCTGCTTGATACGTACATTTGTGACACCTCAGCCATACTTTGCAGTAGGGTTTTCGGTTTCAAGTACAGCTTTTACGGCTGTGTGGTTAGTGTGACATTGTGTTGGTAAAGGAAATGATGAAAATGTGACATACACCCCAAATGAATGGCAGGGTCTCCAATTCCGTCACAGGAAAAAATTCTTGACGTGTGTGATGGTGAAGAGGGTTGCAAAGTCGGAAAGAAATGAATTCCAATAATAATAGGAACAGAGTCCTAGGTCTCTGATCTCTCTCATCTCGTTCCCTGAATCTTTTGCAAACATCAATGAATAAGCTTTTTCGAAGAATCTGGGATCAACTGGAGTGTACGGACCCAGCGCGTAGCGACTTCCGGCGACTCGCAAATCACTCGCAATCGTGTGCGCCTGTCCAAGTAAGGCCACGCCCATTCGATGCCGCGTCAGCAAGCCAAGAAAAGGGCAAGATGGCAGGGTCGACTGTGTGTACATTTGCCCTAGTACGAGAAAGAGCGCCGGCCTACATTCCGCTCCGGTTAGTTCGACTGTGCTCCCCCCCTCGCCCAGCACGACAGTTGATCTTCAGTCGAACTAACAGGAGCGGAATGTAGGTCGGCGCTCTTTCTCGTACTAGGGCAATGTACACTTACTAGGGTAAAGTCGGGTTCTGTTACAAACAAGGCGGCGTTGGTCCAGGGCTAGGTCCGACTAGCTCAATGTTACTTCTCTCGCTACACTCGGTACTTCACAGCACAACGACACTGTTCCACGGAGGTTAAGTCCACGGAAGTCGGGGGCATTTTGGGGAACAGTAGGATTGCGTAGACAGCGGAGCCTTCGCGGTCATCCAACCCGCATGCTTTTTCTTGGATTGGCTGACGCGGCATCGCAGTGGGCGTGGCCTTACTTGGACAGGCGCGCACGATTGCGAGTGATTTGCGAGTCGCCGGAAGTCGCTACGCGCTGGGTCCGTACACTCCAGTTGATCCGAATCTGGTGCCTCCCAAGAGACTCACACATACATCAATCGTGCTCTCCATTGCCAAAGTTAGATATGTTCATAACTGGATCCTTAACTCATTGCGCGCGGCGGATCTATATATGGATTCGTTACGTGGATGTTAGCCAACGCGATCGGCATATATATATAGACGCGCAGGAACAACTCACTTCTCTCTTCGTCCTAGTTGCTGTCTTCACTCGCTGGCACAACCTAGACCTTGCTACACCTTTGACCTTTGAGTGGGCGCACAGTGTGCGCATGTACAAAATAAAAGGCGGGGCTTGCGTGCGCAGCAGCTGCCCCGCCTGCCCCGGCTTCCCCGCGTAGTTCGCAACAAGAAGAGCGATGAATGCAAATCAGGCGTTGCAGCTTGTGCTAGACGGAACTACGGACGAACTTGACTCCGGAGACGAGACAGACATTGATGAAGATGCCATTCCATGCCTGTTGATGAGGAGTCAGAGAGCAGTCAGAGTATGAAGGTAATTTTTTGTCCAGTACAAATAATGTAAAAATATCTACAGTAAGCGACACACAAATTTTGCTATGTTGTGTAGCAACACCAACATCAGAGATGCCTGTAGAAACAGATTCTGGAGGAGAGAGTGAAGTAGGAGAAGAGAGTGTCCGTACGCAAGGAAGAGGAAGAGGGAGAGGAAGAGGGAGAGCAAGAGCGAGAGGGAGATCAACAGGGGGGAGGGGGAGGGGGAGACAGGCCTCGAGAGGGAGAACATCAATCGTTCCATGGGTCATAACAACACCAGGAAATGACCAACAACCACCACCAAAGCCACCAACCTACACCTACACCTGCAAATCCTCAGCCAAGTGACTACTTCAGCCAGCTTGTTGACCATGACATCCTTCTACTCATAGCTGATGAGACAAACAGGTGCTCAGGCAATACATGTTAGACATATACTAAAGTACAGCCATATCTAAATTCACATACCAACACCTCATTACCTACATACAAAAGTATAATACAGGAACTATATAACTGTGTATGCAGCACAAAAAGTGGCATCCAACAAATCCCAACGAAATGAAAGGATTCCTCGCCATCATTTTCAACATGGGCCTCGTAAATCTCCCTCAGATCGAGGATTACTGGAAGAGATCATGGCTGATTGAGGTGCCATTCTTCGCCAGTTCTCAGCTGCGAATGAGTTCAGGTGAGGTGAGTGCTTACAGGGCAGATAATCTTTTCGCTTTAGCTTGGCTTGCTGAAAGGAAGAAAAAGCCAGTCATCATGATTTCAACTTCTTCCTCAGCTGCAGTCACTACAGTTACCTCCCGAAATCACCACGTCCCGCCCCAGGTAAAACCTGTTGTAGTAGACTCCTACAATCACCACATGAATGGTGTAGACATCGCTGACCAGTACGCTGTCTACTACAGCTTTGTGAGAAAAACAGTCAAGTGGTGGCGAAAGGTTGTCTTCTGGCTCTTTGAAACGGCAATGGTCAACAGCTACCTTCTCTACACCGAGTCTACTGCTACACCGATGTCTCACATTGCCTTTCGTCGATCAGTGGTAGAGGCACTGGCATAAGCACACATCGCGACAGCTCCCCCACGTCCTGTGGGACGTCCACGAAAACGCGCACATGCTGTTGAGACGGGACCTGAGAGGCTGAACAAGAGACTGCACCTCATTGACCAACGCTCACAGCGTCAGTGCGTAGTTTGTCATGCTGCAGGGAGAAAAGCTCGGCCCATCTACTACTGCAAGACCTGCCCTGATATGCCACAGCTATGCCCTACTGAATGCTTCGAACGTTTCCACACCCTACCACACTTCTAACTAGCTACACGTAGAAAAAGCTATGTCTGGTATATACAAGTAATGTCAATCGTGAATATAACTTAGCAGCGTTATCCTTAGTAGTTTCAGCCATGAAAATGTGGCCTCCCTGCGGCTCTAAGATGACACTTGGCTTTCTAACACACGAAGAACGAATCTGGGCTTCGTCTGCGTGCCTACACTAGGTATAAACACGCGAACAAAACGGCACGCAGGAACGCGTTAAAAACCACGCGTACGCGTTAATTCCGTGCATGCGTATTAACGCGTGCAATGAGTTAATCGTTTCTACAAATTTTTACTGCAAGGTACCTCATCTAGCAGCTATCTTGTACAGACTGAATTTTCAGAATGTTCTACACTTTTGTGGGATATAATGTTTTGTATGGGTTATCTCACCTAATATTTTTTAACAGTACTGACCAAAATATTGCTGATATTATAAGAAGATTTCACCTACACTCACCTTTTGAGAACTACATCACATTCTTATCATCACATTAACTCTTTTTCTTTATTGCATCTCTTCAGGTGTGCGAAATAATAATAATAATAATAATTAGCTGCAGTAGTAGTTAGCATGTGGGAGTCAATATGCCCCCTTCGTTGTGACTTTTTGTGCCTTGGAGATGCACAGAGCAAGCAGACCCGGTCGAGGTAAGCCTGTGCTAATTTTCATATTGGCTTGTTCACTTGCTTTTCATGCCACAGTATGTAGTTCTACGACAAATCAAAATGAAGCCAGTGTATGATGAACCCGTTCGTATCGCTGTTTTGTTGTCTCACAGCGCGTAGTCGCAGACAACATATGGACAGAACCACTTATGAACCAAGTACTGCAAGTCTTGCTGCGAATGTGCGCCTCAAGGGTTAACTACAACCCCCCAACTTATGATATCATCTTCTCCCCTTATCAGACTGGGCCATTTTGCCTACACAGCCACTCTTCTACTACACGTAATTGATTCCAGTTGTTCACTTGCAGCATTAGCATTAGCACCTTGTCATGCTGTACACCTAGTCTCTCACTGTCAAGTTTACTGACTCCAGTTCGTACACACAGTTGCTCACTTCAGCTTACTGGATTTTATGTACAAAATTTTGCTGCCAGTGGCATATGAAATTGCTCATAATAATAGCCTATACTGTAGCTGTGCCTGTAGTTGCTCGTAAATTACAAATTACCTGTAGCTGTTCACCAATTGCTTTAGTTTAGTTGCTGAATTTTTATTGGCTGTAGCAATGTATCTCGTGGCAGTTTCTACTGTGACTTAGCTACATATTGGCACCCTGAGTCCATATCGCTATTTTGCCTTTATATTGTCGTACCATATCCATTATTCCATTGCGTTCTGTGCAATGCACACGAATCTAATAATGTGCTCCATACCTATCCCCAGACACAGTCCTCTGTGGGCCTGACACTGGCCAATTCCTCTTCTCTCTCTGTAAGTGTCTGTGTTGTGCTTTGCACTGTGTCAAATGCTCTCTCTACCTTCTTACAGTTTTCTACACTGTCCAAAATGAATAAGAGTCAACTGATAGCAGTAAGAAATATTAAATAACAAGGGCCAAGCAAGTTAATCGACTTTTCTTTCTTAGACGATCAAACGTTTAGAACTGGAGAAAAAGTCACGACATCTACCCCCACCTAAGGTAAGTTTTCATGTGTCCAAGAAACTTAGAGCATTTTGCTCTCTTGCTGCAGACACTGAGAGCAAAAGCAGGAAGATTGGTAAAGGAACACGGAGATGTGATGTGTTCGGTATGGTCAAACCCTGTGCTGTTAGGCCTAATAATATTTCTGCTCCCTTAACAGGTATGCGAGCATGTAGTCAGGACCAGCAGAGGATTTATAGCACATACACAGAGAAAAGGACAAACTAAGTGCAGGAGAGCAAATGCAGTAAGAAAGGAAAATGGAACTGTTCCAACAAAAGATGCTATTTTTTCCTCCCTAGGTACCGCCTGATTAGCTCCTCTTCACTGACGTCCCCATCCTCCCCTTCCTTTTTCTATGCTCTCTTAACTTTCTAAGCTCCTCCCATCCTCCTTAAAATTATCATCAGTTTGTGTTTGTTTTGTTATTAGACATCCCTCTCCTCTCTTTGTGTTATCATAATTGCCGTATTGCCCATCTATCTGCTCTTCTCTTCTTCCCACTCCACCCCACTGACTCACATGCCTTTCATGACCAGCAACAGGTTCAGCTATATACTCCAAAGAGATTACATGTTAGAATTAGTCAGATGCTGGCATATATAATATTATTTGCAAATCTATCTCGGTGCACAGATGCGTAGTGCTTAAAATACTGGCTGAGGCTGCATATTTCCTCCGTTTACACAGTCATTACCAACACTGCTGCCAATAGTACAACTTCCTTCGTAAATGACACCTCTTCCTCTTAAGCCTAAATAAATATTCCCTGATCTCCCCTACTGTGCAACTGATGACATAAGAAGCTACTCTCTTTTTTCTCTCTGTCTCTTCTCCTAAACCCCTCCTCCTGATAACAAAGAGGGTAGAGGCAATCTGTCTTTTGAACATCCACGGCATCAGCTTGTAGAATAAAAACTACACGGAGAAGAAAGAAAGATAGTTACGGTATATAGTTGAAAGCACACCCCTCTAGTCCAATAAGGACACACTTTCCTCCCCCAACAACAGTTTTTGAATGCAATTTTTAACCACTAAAACAAGGACACCTCTCTAATATGGACACTTCTGTCCCATTGGTGAGCTTATACGTCTCCCAAAGAAAGCCACATTCACTAATACTATAACAAACACATTATTGTGTAAAAAACTTTTGGTGGACTGCCAGCAGATGTCACAAAATGTTACCAGTGCAAACTGCAAACAACCTGAACAACGTGAGCAAAGGTGACAGGGGTGTGACTGAAGTGTCCCACAGCATTAAGAGCCGAACTGGCGACAGTTTCAGCAGTGGGGTGAAAAGGCTTGGCCTCATTCCACTCATGGATGTGGCTACAAATGCTGGTTTAATACACTGTGGCACAGAGAGAGAGGGGTGGAGGAAGGAAAGATTGGAGAGAGAGGGAGGATGAAGAGAGGAGAGGAAGGGTAAGAGGGTACCTAAAGCTGATAGTTAGCTGCTGCTCTACCTGAACAATGAAAAGCACTGAAGTGCAAACCCTCGGCGCACTGTGAAGCGCACGCCTAAGTAAACGCATGCGCCGTACCAGTAATTGATGGGCTGGGTTTATTTTAGCTGTTACTCGTGGTCTCTTGCCAGCTCGCGCAGAGTCTGACGCGGGCTAACTACACTACTAGATAGCATGCGAGAGGCGATACACGCCCTGCGTTGCATCTTCTGGTGCCTCCGAAGTATATACGCAGAGCACGACCGCTGTAAGCCATCCCGTCCGTTGCGTATTTGCATATAAGTTTTTCGCGCTCTAGTTTTGCAACGGAGCATTTTCAGAGAAAACCGCCTTTATTTTCTGACCTTCGTTGCCCGTTGGGTAGATGGTATCGTTTCTGGGAGGAACAGACGTTCGAGTAGTGAGATGTAGACTAACAGACAGACAGACAAACAGACAGACCCAATGAAAAGCACTAAAGTGCAAACCCTCGGCGAATTGGGCATGCGAGGTACCACTGATTGATGGGCTGGGCTGCTATTAGTATGCGTTTACTCGTGGTCTCCCGCTAGTAGCTCGCAGAGAGTCTGACACGGGCTAGCTACAGTAGTAGATAGCATGCGAGAGTCGATACATGCCCTTCGTTGTGAGTTCTTGTGCCTTCAAGATACACAGACACACAGAACAAGCGGACCCGAGCCTGTTCAAAATATAAGCGCATTCGCATTTTCCGCAGCGATAAAAATGGCCGACTAGTATTAGCCGTACAATGGTGGAAGCGCTCTAGCTCTGCAATGGAGCATTTTCAGAGAAAACTGTTCGAAATTTCTGACCTTCATTGCCCGTTAGGTAGGTCGTATCCTTTGTGAGACGAACAGACACTCGAGAAGTGAGATTGAGAGTAACAGACACACGGACAGACAGACCCAACTACAGTACCCTCGCTGCGCATGCGCGCCGAGGGTAACTACAGTACCGTCGCTGCGCATGCGCGCCGAGGGTAATGAAAAGCACTGAAGTGCAAACCCTCGGCGCATTGTGACGCGCACGCGTAAGTAAACGCATGCGCCGTACCACTAATTGATGGGCTGGGTTTAGTTTTAGCTGTAACTCGTGGTCTCTTCCCAGCTCGCGCAGAGTCTGACGCGGGCTAACTGCACTACTAGATAGCATGCGAGAGGCGATAAACGCCCTGCGTTGCATTTTCTGGTGCCTCCGAGGTACGCACAGCACGTGGAGCGATTATGCCGTAGTAAGCTGCCCGTCCGTTGTGTATTTGCATATTGGCTTTTTCGCGCTCTAGTTCTGCAACGGAGCAGTTTTAGAGAAAACTGTACATATTTTCTGACCTTCATTGCCCGTTAAGTAGGTTGTATCCTTTGTGAGACGAACAAACACCCGTGAAGTGAGATGTAGAGTAACGGACAGACAGACAGACCCAATGAAAAGCACTAAAGTGCAAACCCTCGGCGAACTGCATATGCGCGGTACCGCTAATTGATGGGGTGGGCTATTAGTGTGCGTTTACTCGCGGTCTCCTGCTAGTAGCTCGCAGAGAGTCTGACACGGGCTAGCTACAGCAATAGCGAGAGTCGATACACGCCATTCGTTGTGCCTTATTGTGACTTCAAGAGCAAGCGGACCCGGTCGAGGTAAGCCTACAAAATATAAGCGCATGCGCTTTTTCGGAGCGATAAAATGGCGTCTACCGACATTAGCCGTACAATGCCGGATGCGCTCTAGCTTTGCAACGGAGCATTTTCAGAGAAAACCGCCTTTATTTTCTGACGTTCATTGCCCGTTAAGTAGGTCGTATCCTTTGTGAGACGAACAAACACCTGTGAAGTGAGATTGAGAGTAACAGACAGACAAACCCAACTACAGTAACCCTCGCTGCGCATGCGCGTCGAGGTTTAACTACTCTACCCTCGCAGCGCATGCGCGCCGAGGGTAATGAAAAGCACTGAAGTGCAAACCCTCGGCGCACTGTGACGCGCACGCGTAAGTAAACGCATGCTCCGTACCACTAATTGATAGGCTGGGTTTTGTTTTAGCGGTCTCTTCCCAGCTCGCGCAGAGTCTGACGCGGGCTAACTACACTACTAGATAGCATGCAACATGCCTTGCTTCTTCTGGTGCCTCCGAAGTATATACGCAGAGCACGACCGCTGTAAGCCATCCCGTCCGTTGCGTATTTGCATATTGGCTTTTTCGCGCTCTAGCTTTGCAACGGAGCGTTTTCAGAGAAAACCGTTCGAATATTCTGACCTTCGTTGCCCGTTCAGTAGGTGGTATCCTTTGTGAGACGAAAGAACATTCGAGAAGTGAGATGAAGAGTAACAGACTGACTGACTGACTGACAGACAAACCCAACTACTGTAACCCTCGCTGCGCATGCGCGCCGAGGGTTAATAATCCCTTTTGATACATACTCTTGTCTCAGCCCTTCAGAAAAGTAGGACACAAACACCTATAATATACATGGAGATCTGCATGAAATTGCAGTGATGTAATGTTGACATCTCACCTTTGAACCGGAATACACAGTCAATATAGGCACTGGAAATTCAGCTGCTAGTGATGCAATGTTGATCACCAATCCTTTATTCCCGCAACAATACGGATCAACCTTGTACAGTGGTTTTTGTTCATATGGAGCTAAACCAGTTTTCCGACCAGTTTTTTCTGCTTTTTGCAGTCAGTAGTGTAAACTGTCTCAAAGGAAGTTTGTATAACCCTCTAGGAAGTTGATATAGCACACATATTTGTCCTCATATAGTGCATGGCGGCACTTTTGATCCACCCATGCACGACATAATAGTTAGTTTTATAAATTACAGCTCAATTTCAGTGTTTCATTCACAAAAGCTGATTCGTTCTTACCTTTCGACCATTTTCGGTAGGAGCAGATGTGTCATCTGTAGAATAATTAATGATTCGGAATTTGTGACGGAGGATGAACAGGGCTAGGCCCACTCGCAAGATGTAATTACATACCTGGACCATAGCTTGACAGTTGACCTTGAGCAAATTACGAAGATGCTGCAAAACATTGCCTGTATTATTCTTTCAATCCACAAAAATGTCATAAAAATCAGGGGTTACTAAACAACAGTAACAAAGGTTTAGTACAAAATATGCCATAAGGGAACACAGCTAGGGATTGGCAATAGAAAGAAAGATTAATATTCAATACCTCAGAAGGAACGTCAGCAAAGTATTCAGGGTATTCATAGCCTAATCCAACATTGTTCACCGGAGAGAAGGAGAACAAAATAAAAGCAAGAGAGAAAAACAATAAGCCAACATCGTTACTCATAGCATAATCGAAAACAAAAGTAAGAGAGAAGGAGAGAAAAGTAAGCATTGCTATACTGTTGACTTTTGAGAGAAGTAAAGATGAGTAATAAAAATGAGTTAGAAAAGAATCAGACAATACATCACTTCTCACCAAGAAGGCCAATTTCGAGGTCTTGGAGTTGTTTCTTTATCTCAGGATAGATCTCCTGACCAGACGAAAAGTCTACTGACATTATTCGCACTAGAACATTGTACTTTGTTGCTGAGGGGAAAAGTTAAACTTTGGTGGACAGGAAAATGTTTTTTATAAGTCGCGAGTAGCTACTGAGCTGCAATAAAATTTCCTCCTCAAAGATTTTTTATGGCTACACTACAGCTATTGCAATACTGTTTGTCAAGCATGAAAAACTAAGTGTGTGCAGTTAGGCCATAACTCCAAGAGACTAACTGATTTCGTCAGCAACTTTTTCCAGCTTTTCCTGAGACCTGCTCATGATGACAACATTCAGACCTCGTTTCGCCAGCTGTGTGGGGGCACAGACCCATGTTCCCACACCTCCATACACCCCCTGTCTTAGTTACCTCAATTGCATAGGCTTTTCCAATACCCTCAGAAGCACCAGTCACAACTGATAGGAAAATTTAGAGTAAGCTGTAAATTTATGCAGTTATCGGTAAAGCTTTACCAGCCCATGGTCCGTATTTTATCATGTTTGGCCGAAATATTCCGAGAGGAGCGAGAACGTAGGCCTTGGTGAATGGGTAGAGGGAGGATACGGCGCGAAGAGCGGTCCCTAGCCAGGTGGAGAACGCCCACTCCTGTCGCCGCGACCCTTCAACAGCAGAATTCCTAGTGTCACAGGCCAGGGCTAGAGAGTCTGGCTGCTAGCGAGACTACCCTTTTGTCTACACGGCTGACTCTGCGGCTCACCTGAATGGGTAAAGACGCTCTGACATGAAGAATTCCCACGCTTGAATAGCTAGCTCCATTCTCGGCGGACGAAAATGGTTACAGGGATGTGCCAGGCGCGAAAAATCAGGGTCGCTATGGAATGCGTATAATAGGCTGTTGGAAGGCCTGGCCACTCCAACTTGCATTCCGGTTTCTGGTCAGGGCCTTTTCAAGGGCGGGCGGGTTTAGTTAACCCTCGGCGCGCATGCGCAGCGAGGGTTGACTGTAGTTGGGTTTGTGTGTCTGTCTGTGGGTCTGTTACTCAATCTCACTTCTCGGGTGTTTGTTCGTCTCACAAAGGATACGACCTACTTAATTAACGGGCAATTAAGGTCAGAACGTTTGTGCGGTTTTCTCTGAAACTGCTCCGTTGCAAAGCTAGATCGCGAAAAAGATATACGCAACGAACGGGATGGCTTACCAGGGTCTGGTCGATCCGCGTGCTTTGCGTACCTTGGAGGCACCAGAAGATGCAACGCAGGGCGTGTATCGCCTCTTGCATGCTATCTAGTAGTGCAGTTAGCCCGCGTCAGACTCTGCGCGAGCTGGGAAGAGACCGCTAAAACTAAACCCAGCCCATCAATTAGTGGTACGGCGCATGCGTTTACTTACGCGTTCACGTCACAGTGCGCCGAGGGTTTGCACTTCTGTGCTTTTCATTGGGTCTGTCTGTCTGTCTGTCCTTCTGTGGGTCTGTTACTCAACATCTCACTTCTCCAATGTTCGTTCGTCTCACAAGCGATACGACTTACTTAACAGCCAATGAAGGTCAGAAAATTGGGCAGTTTTCTCAGAAAATGTTCCGTTGCAAAGCAAGAAAAAGCCAATATGCAAATACACAACGGCCGGGATGGCCACAGTCTGATCGATCCGCGTGTCACCTCGGAGGCACCAGAGGATGCAACGCAGGGTGTGTATCGCCTCTCGCATGCTATCTACAGTGTAGTTAGTCCGCGTCAAACTCTGCGCGAGCTGGCAAGAGACCACGAGTAACAGCTAAAACAGCCCATCAATTAGTGGTACGGCGCCTCACGGGTGCGCGTCATGGGCGACTTCAGTTCTTTTCTTCATTAGCCCGACTAGTAATATGACCACAAAAATTCATAGTGGGAAGACTGTCAAAACGAGAAAGTGCAAATGTATTAGTACAGCGCGCGTAGTTAATAATGACGTTCGCTTGAAATGGGTGCGGGCGGCTGACTATACAACTTGGAGTGGCCTTATGTAGATAACAGCGGCCGTCTTTTGTTGAGCCACTCCCTTCTCTGCTCAAAAGTTTTCGTGTGCGGATGGGGTGCGCGCGATAACCGGCTCGTTCGAATCCTCGTCCTAGGGAGGAGTTAGCTAGGATATCCGTTAGCTACCGGGACTGTTGAATGCTGTGTAGTATTCTCATCAGTAGCTAGCTAAGCTTGTGTGCCCGCACGCTCTATATACAAAAGTTCATGTTGAACAGGCCGCCCGGGCATGACATGTAGGTAGCTATGGAGACAGATGTAGCTACACAAAAACAACATCAAGAAAGAAGGTGGGGTCCATGGCAGGCAAAGAATCAAGTAGAGTGCTCCAGGAGTTGTCACTTTTTGTGTGGTTATGTTCGGCCAGGGTTGGTTTGTCCAGACCAGCTGTATCCCACAGAGGACATTTGCTGGGTGAATCTGATCTAGGTAGTAATCACCCTCAAAAGGTTCTTCAGTCCTTTGAGGGCCGAGATCCTGTGCTTGATCTTACAACTTATTTCACCCAAAACACTCAGCGATCTTGTGTGCGAACTGATAGCTATTTTGGAGACCTTTTGTAGCAGCAACAATTGGTCTTTGTCGTTGTTGATCTTTTGTGCATTTCTGATGATGTCCAGCCCATGTGCAGACTCATTGGCACCCAGTATCTCTGATTATTTGACTTGTACCTCGTTCCCTGCATTCCCTCACTAGACTGAGTGCCTCGATATCATCTACCATAGCTGATGAATTGCGATAACAGATGCTTTCTGCGGGTACTTTAGCTTTCTGATGGTGCAAACTGAGTGGAGTGAGTTCCAGCCAAGTGCTACGATTGGGGAACCACTTTGGTAGATTCAGGATTATTTTTGTGATATCTCCTTGGAAGCATTCGAGCTTTCAGATAGATTCAGGTGAGAGAACCCAATTTTCCACCCCGTAGAAAAGGATGGATAGCTAGAACATATGTCTCGTGTGACCGTGGATAAGGCTGTTGCACAGAGCCCCCCTTTCAACATAGTTTATGCTGCTTGAATGGCAGTATAATTTTACTACTATAATTATTATTGCTACACATCAACAGAAAAATGTTGCGTTTACCAGTTACGTTCACTTTCGTGGACATCGTTTCATCTCCTAATAATGTGCATTCTAACCCATCAGCAGTGTGTAATAGATACACTTGTGTATGCGCGTGCTGAAAATTCCTTTTTGTATACTTCCCAATCTCCCACTGGTGTGACAGCAGTCCAGGAAGGTCCGAATAGTATTGTGCTGTCTTGGAGTCCGTCGATGCCACTGGCTACACTATCTCCTACACTGGAAGCAGCAGTGGTACGGTAGATATGTCAGTAGTGGCTCTACAAACAGCTACACTGACTGGTCTCACCAATAGACAGACTTACACTATAATTATCCATTGTAGCTACACCTGAATACCTATTCAGTGATGCCACATCTTAATCACACAAATAAGAGAGAGATAGGCCCTACAGTTCATCGAAATGTAATCCCATTATTCCAGTCCCTGCAGGTGTTTGTGTCAGTAAGCTCCATAACAGCCACCTCCCTCTCCCTCTCATGGAGTGTGTCCAGTGGGAGGGTGGCCAGTTGGGAGGTGGTCTGGAGACCCACTGACAGAGGCACTGAGGGCACCAGTGGTCCTCGGTCTGGCACTACCTATAGCTACAGCCTACACCGCCACCAGTTGGACCCTTCCACTATCTACACACTCACTGTCACAACCACTATAAATTTAGCTGGAACCATTGACAGCACTCCCATACTTTTCTCCACTGGTGATAAATGAGGGCTTGCTTCATAGTTAACCTTGTATAACTCTGTTTCAGCCACTGGTGTTTGCCAGGCAGAGAGTTCAAGTACAGGTAACACTTCAGCCTCTATCGGTGGATTAGTGACTGTGGCTGTGGCTTTATGATCACTACTTCACTGACAACCATAGTGATAGTGATGTTGAGAAGTCGCAATGGTGCAAAAACAAAGCACGAGCACACAATAATTATTATTTTGTTAACAGAGCTACGGTTGCAGCTACAAATCAACCAGTGGAGCTCTCTAAGGTGTCATCACTATCATAAGCGTAAGTCTCCCCATATGAAAACACTGTAAGCTGGTTTCTATACGTATAACTGATACCACCACCAGAGACCCAGACAACCAGTTCTGAGGCCAACACCTACAATGTAGTGAGAGGGACTGGAAGGACAGCTGAAGATGATTGTGAAGTACCATTAAACCTTCCTCTTCCCACCACCTCTCAACCTACCACTACTTCTGCTGGAGTCTCTCTCTATAAACCTGTGTTGTGTGCCAGTATTATGTGGTAGCTGCGGACGTGTAATTATCTGGGCATGCGTAGTTTTCCGGGCGATGCGTAATTGGCAATTAGTGGCGCTGGCAAACCTCGCGAGAAATTGTAGCGCCGACTAGCGATGAATGTCGCATCGTTATTGTTACTCTGGTCTCTGGTGGAGGTCCACCCTCAGACCTTTCCCCGTCTCTCAGGGGCCAGACTCTGGCCAACAATTCCTATGTGGACCTCGGTCTAGTGGGGCATTTTATCACTGGTAGTGACAGTGTTCATTGCCATACTGACCTGAGCACATGTTGTAATAGTACTTACGGTATATAACGATCGTGGAGACTGGTAGTTCCCTGATGGAACTAGACTGGTTATGGTGGTGATATCTATGAGTTTCGCGATTCTCAGGCTGTTGATATACGTCGTAGGAATAATGCTAACTCATATATATATGTATCTATCGCTGCGATCTTCCAACTAGTGCTGTCCATCATGATACTGACATCTCAGTAAGAGACACAGTCTATGTGGGGCTGTACACTGGCAGTGGAGGTATGTTCCCTGCTTGCCAGCTATGTGCGAGAATACGAAGTAAAAGTTGGGTGATATTCCCAGTAGTAAGACAATGTGTGTCTTTACATGATTTGACATTATTATTAGGACTTGTATAACATGCCACACTTGTGCTTTAGGTGGTGTTACAATTGCTGGAGGTGTGTCGTATGATTCTAACACACAAACCCTCACCTGTATCTCCACTGGTGGACCTGCTACCACCGTCACTTGGACCAGAGACTTCACCACTGTCACCCAAGGAACTGAGACAGTATTGGATGACCCAGTGACAGCTACCTACACCCACACTCTGAACATGACTGGGAGACTGGGAGGACTGTACAGCTGTACTGTGAGCAACGATAAACCATCTGTGGTGTCTGAAACATTGACTGTGAGAGGTTTGTTTCTCTACAAAAACGCATCTTAACCATGTGTGCAATGTTCTCCAGTTGCCTCAGCTCCTACTAACCTGATGTTAGAGGTTCAAAGAGATGGTACTAGTGTCCTACTGACCTGGACCCCACCTGATCCACTGGGAGATACCACTGGCTACACAATTTCCTACATTGGAGGAGGTAGCAGTGGTAGTGAAACTTACAGTGGTGGAGATACTAATCAGAGCGTCGGTAGACGCTC